ACTGCCCAAAACCTTACACCCCCAACCCCCAGACAGCCCCCCCCGAACCTCCCTGCCGCTTCTCTGGCCCCCGGCCCCCTTACCTGTGCTGCAGAGCCGCGTGCTCGACAGCGGGGGAGGGCAGCAGGGTCGGAGCTCCAGGCGAACGGCCGGCGATCTGTGAGTGCAGGGAGGGCAGGGGAGGGAGGGAGAGGAGGGGGGTGTCAAGTTTCAGGAGGGAGGAGGGGGAAGTGCAAGCAGGGCTCTGGCTCTGGCTGTTGGAGCACCGGCTGCTCTGTAAGCCGCGCGCACGCTCTGCATGGGGGCGGGGGAGGAGGGGAAGTCCGGACATTGACAAATTCCCCCCGGACGCTATTTTTAACCCGAAAAAGCCGGACATGTCCGGGGGAATCCGGACGAATGGTAACCCTATCCCACTGGCCAGAACCGTCTGCGACTCCTGAGCTGGGCCTCCCGATCCCCAGGTCACCGGTCGCTGGGGTGTTCCCCCTCCAGGCCATCGGCTGGGGTCCCAAGTTCCCTCTCCGGTTCTGTGTAACCACAAACTCCCTCTCCCCTCCCCTCGTTAAACCAGTAACACCCAGGGGCACTGAGTCCCACCCCCTCTGCATGCAACCATTGGAAAAACAAGAAACCTCCTGCTTTGTCACCCCGACTGGCACCCTGCCCCCTCGGTCCATGGCCGTTCCCCTCCCTCCTCATGCCGTGGCTCTCCTTGCCTTCCAGCCCAGCCGGAGGCAGCAGCCGTGGTGGCGGAGGAGGGGCATGCGGCCCGGCGGCTGACGGACGACTACGAGGTGCACGAGGAGATCGGGAGGTGAGGCGGGAGGGAGGCGGGTGCCTCTGGCAAGGGGCCGTCCCCAAGCGTTGGCCTGGCACCCGGGCTCGGTCCTGAGTCCCTGCTCCCAGGCACTAGGGCTGGGTCTCCCGCCGGGCTGGGCCAGGGCAGGGACAGGGTGTCTCAGCCCCCAGAGCAGGGCACCGCTGGGAGCCCAGGGCAGCTCCATGTCCATGGCCTGGCGCCAGCTTCTCTCCTGAGCCCGGCAGTGCTCGGTGCCGGGGCTAGGGGGCCCAAACAGCCCCCATGGGGATGGCTCTTGGCAAGCCCAGGGGGGTGTCACGGAGTATTGGGGAACTCAGGGCCCTGCACCCCCGGCTTCCTGCAATTCACCCATGACTCTCAGCCAGCCAGTAAAGCAGAAGGTTTATTTGGATGACAGGAATACAGTCCAAGACAGGTCTTGCAGGC